AATGATTAAACAAACATGAAGCTCTCACTTTGCTTTACAACATGTTTTTTGAATCCCCTTGAATCCCATGGTTTCGTAAATTTCGCAATTTGATTGGTTGACTAATCCCGTAGATATTTTGACTGGTCGATACAATGAGTGATCTGTGTAATGAGAATAAAAATCATATCTATATTTGGACGTTTCCTCCTGTTTATCGTTATTATTTGAAAAAAACTGCAAAAATATTTCAGTTATCAGTGCTCTAAGGGCTCTAAAGTAAACCTGTCTTACAATTTTAAATAACCACAAATTTCTTTCTAGTAACAAGCTATTTATATTTTTACATATTGAAATTGCGAGAAGTTTTTTTTTTTTACCCCTTTGAACAAAAATATCAAGAAAATTTTGAGTTTTTTTTTTCATTTTAATTCTACAAGTTCTGTAGAATTAAATGAAAAAAGATTTATCAGATTTGTTTAGCTGTCAAACTATCTTCGTACAAAGGTTAATTTTTATCGATACGAACCTTTTTTGACCAATCAAATAAATGCATAAATTATTCCTTTTAAAAGATCAAACCATGTTTTGATTTTCAATTCAGGTTTTTTTTTTCCACTATAAACAAGACAAACTTTTTAATGTCAATTCTCATTCCCACGGTATCTGCAATATTTTTCTGTCTTATAGAAAAGAAAAATGATTTATCCCTAAAATGTGAGAAAATTTTTTTTAGGAAGTTAAAATTTTTATGATATATATACACATAGTTTTCTTATTAAACCATTTTATTAATTGTTATTATTATTATGATTTCGTCTGTTGTAGTTACTGTTTGAAAAGTGCTGAGTCACATTAATATTGGACTTTCAGAAGTTAGGTGAGAATTCACTAAGTAAATTTCAAGTTGCTATATATCTGAAGTTAAGCTGCCACTAGGGTGATTGCAGAGAACTGGAAGTGCATCATGGCCACAGATATGCCTATAAACATCCTTCTCTATTATGTCTTACCCGAAAGCTCAATCTAGCCTTGCACAGAAGTTGTGATGAATAATAATGATATTTACTTATTATTATTATTTTTTTTATCTTATTCTAGTCGCAATGAATATTTAAATTTGGTTAGATCTTATAACAATGATTTTATCTTGGTATATTGCAATGATATAGTTACAGTTGGTAATATTAAGCAATTTGAAAAAGTAGTTAAAGCTTATCCACAAAATACCATGAGTATTATTGTAACATCATCTTAAAAAAGAAGCTTATTCAATAGTTCGAAACGTGCAAAGTCTTCAAAGTCTTCAGCTAGTATTTTATTTACGTGTATTAATAAAATGGCAACTGATATTCTGGCATACTTTTTATTAAGAAAGGATTATCAATTTGATTATCAGCATAAATTTATCAAAAATTTGAAAAATTTGAAAAAAGGATTATAATCTTGTTAATTTTTTTATTACTGATAATGGGATATTTAGTTAGGTAATTATTTACAAATTTCTATGATAAGGTGCTTGTGTTATGTAAGTGCTTTTTAATACTTTTAATTTTTTTTCTGTCCTGAATTTAATTATTCATAATTTTACTATTAAATAGATAAGATTACATAAACTTTGAAGAAAATTCAATAGAATGATAGATTTATATAAAATACAATGATATTTAAAATAGTGAGCTTTTAATTGTCACAATATAATTAAATTTTTTTCAATGCTATTGCACAATACAGGAAATTAGATTTTTTTTAATTTAAATATTAATTATTTAAATTACAACAATAATGAATAAATTGAACCAGTCTGAATAGCTAAATAAATGTTGTATATACTCTATAAGAAAAATGTACTGTAATTGTATAGGTTGGCTCGGAATAGTATGGGTTTCAGTGGCACAGATCAAATCTAGAGTTTGTATGTAAGAGGCTTGAAGTGGCACAAATATTTGGCTCATGTTGGTCTATATACCAGTGCCAATTGGACTGTTAATAACTCAGGTTTTGCAACACTTTACTGCAGTAGTCCAATTGGTATGGGTTTTGGTATGGACATACGTAAATTCATATACTATCATAATTACAAATATATATATTGAAACATAATTTACTTCAATTATCATCAATATAATATGTATTTAAAAATTAAAATAATTAGGTATGTGTAAAATTTTGCAAGGAATATTTTTCATTAAGATACCCAGAACAATTTAATTGATAAAATTTTAAGATATTGTATTTTTTTTTCATAAAAAATCATTCACTGATCTTTCACTCTTAAGACACTTGCATATACATATCATCCAATACGACCACTTTTCTGCAATGTTCATATCATTTTTAGCCATATTATTATATAAAATGAGCCTCTATGTGCTATACACCCATACTATTTATACATTCACAGACCACTTTTCTTATAGAGATATATTATTAAATTCTGAGGTTCCTGAGATTAAATATAAGTTATATTTGTCACATTAGTCAAAAAAATTAAATACATCAGTGTCAAAATTATTAATAATAATCAAATTAGCCAAAAATTAAAATACGTTAGTCAAAAAATCATTATTATTATATATGTTAAATCTAAAATATAATTTAAACCTTTTTTCTCTCTCAAAAAATTCTCAAGTTACAATTGTTAAAAAAGAAATTATCGATATTTCGATTGAATTGTTTTGGAATACAAATGATTTATCAGCAACTTTTGTTGAACCTTTAGAATTTACAACTGTTTTAAACTATGGTTGTACAACAATCAAGAATCTGGATGAACCAGACACAATTTTATTAAATAGAAATAGCTACAAAAAGATAACAAATAGTGATATTCATGATTTGATATCTTCTATTAATAATGTTTTCTTAGAAGAAGTAATAACATTAATAGCAATAACTGATAATGATATTGATGATTAGTGTTCTAAGCCAATTAAGCTAGCCGCTTAGCTGACCGCTTAGCCGCTTAGCCGGCTGATAGTTTCATTAACTGGCTAAACGGCTAATAATAGCTAATAACAATAATACATATATCATAATAATACAATCCAGAAAATCGATCTAAAATGTGTTAAAAAACAAGCTTTTAGCAGGCCAAAACAGAGCGTCCATTAAAGTAAAGAATTTCTTATTTTGGCTAATAGATAAAGCTATGGCGTAACTGCCCCATCCGATTATAATTAATTAAAGAACCTGTGCAAACAAAGCCCCCAGTACCACAAAAAAATTTTTTCATATCGTATTATCATTGTACAAATATAGACATTAATTTTAATTAGATAATCGCATATTGATTCACACATTAACTTCGAAGATTATTCAAATATCTAATCGAGTTAATTCGTTCGTTTTATTCGAATTATTAAAGCAAATGCTATTTATAAAGACGTATAAATATATTTTATATTCCAATTGGCAGAGGAAAGCTTATTTTAAATTTTGGCAAATGTGTAAAATTTTAATCGTCGACTATATCAAAAAAATCAAAGATAAAAATTAGTACATCTATTAACTGCGAAACATATATGCTTTTATAATCATTGACCATGCTTTTCAAATAAATTATAAATTCACAAACCTAAAACCTGACTTTTTTTTGGCGATATTCATATTACTGTAATATTGCACAAGCTTATGACTTTTTTAACTGATCTATTTGATATTGCTAATGTATCAAGCTGCTAACCCAAAAAGTCAACTAATTAAAAATCATAGTCATAAATTATAAGAAAATAATAATACTAAAAAAGAGAAAGGTTGCGAGAATGGCTATGCAAAGGAGTATGAAAATGTTAAACATTGAATCACAGATTGTGTTATTAATTAACTTCCCTTTATAATTCCAAAGCCCTGATACAATGAAACTTGCTGATAAGAAACTTCTTATACGTTCTTCAAATAAATCTTTATTTTACTTCCAAATCATACGTTCTGAGTATATTTCTTGAATTATCGTTATCACTAAATAATAATAAAAAAATAAATAAATAAATAATAAATAAACAAATAAATAAATCAACGCTCATATAATCAAATTCAAAAAAAAAGCTCCAATATTGATTTTTTCGTAATGGAGGATTCTCAAGATGACGAATTTTTTATGTCTTCTTTTTCATCAAATTCATCTCAAATGTACGGTGATTTATATGATACTAATTTATATAATGAGGATTTAGAAAGTGGTGAAAAATCCGATGATTTGGATGAAAGCTCAGAGGCTGAAAAGGAAATATCATCAGCTACTACATGCAAAAATGAACAACCTTTAAATAAATCTAGCAGAAAAAGATTACCTTCCTGGACAAACCGATATTTCGATACTTTTAGGCTTGAAAAAAAAAGAAAATGTAATGTACTAATTAATACAAAGGAAGGAAAATCCAAATGTGGGCATTCTTTTGAACTTCAAACCAGTACAAGTAATCTTGCTTCGCATTTGCGTGTTGTTCATCAAATCCATAAACCCGATAATTCAAAAACTCCAACTTTTGCACCGATTCAAACAAATCAGCCAACAATTGAACAAACCTTAAATAAAGTTACACCTCTTTCAGAAAAAAAACAAACCCGAATTATGTATCGGCTCATTTCTTGGCTTATTGATGATTTACAAGCTTTTAACATACTTAGTAATGAGAAGTTTCGTGATTTAATACACAAATGTGAATCTCGATTTCAATTTCCATGTATTGATTATGTAAAGCAAAAAATTGCATTATCAGTTATATTTAGTGAATCAAATTTAAAAAATTTGATTAAAGAAACTCTTACTTCATTTAATTTTACTACTGACTTGTGGACACAATTCCATACACCCTATATTGGAATAACAATACATTGGCTTTCAAATGATTTCATTCTTTATCAAGCGCTTTTGACGATTCAACAATTTCCTTACCCTCATACTGGTGATGCAATCGAAGACTTTCTTCGTGATTCGTTTATAAAATGGAATATTTCAAGTAAATTATTCGGAGGATCGACTGATAATGCTGCTGCAATGGTAAAAGCTTGTAAGCAGCTTCGTATTGTTCATATTGGTTGTACAGCTCATACATTGCATATTTCTGTTAATGATGGATTAAAAAAAATAGAAGCATTAATTGTAAAAGCAAAACGATTAAATAGTTTTTTATGTAACCGAGACAAGTATCGTAGTGATTTGATGAGTTATTTTGTAAAACAACATCCAGAATTAAAAGAGCTTCAACCAATTAGTAGCGATACTACTACCAGGTGGAATTCCACATACCTACTTCTTAAACGGCTTTTACTTTTTCGGTATCCTGCTCACCAATTGGCTCAACAACTACAAAAAGATGTTAATCGACAAGTAAGGAATGATGGTGATTCATTGCATAATCTTCTTTTGGAAGATTATGAATGGCAATGCCTGGACGAACTGACTATGCTTCTCCAACCATTTGCACAATCAATCACATTTATGGGAGGTAGTCATTATCCTACTTTAGGTATGATGTATCCAACAATTCGAAAGCTTTTTCAGCATCTTGATACTGTTTATGATAAGCTTGCTACATCCAAAGTTAAAGAAGTTTGTATTGTGGTTAATCAGTCAATGTCAAAGCATTGGGATGAGCCAAAAGAAGCCGGATTAATTGCATCATACCTGGATCCTCGATTTAAAAATTTACGTTTTTTAAACGTTGAAGAAAGAACAGAGACAATCAGCTTACTTCGTACACAAATTATTGAATCATCCGATTCTCATACTTGTACCACTACTGGTTCTTTAACTAAAAACACACAAGAACATATGATGAGTAAGTTTTTTGATAATAGTGATACTGTAGCACAATCATTGCTTGATACCGAATTACAGTTGTACGATAGTTTGCCTTTGGTTTCCAAGTATGATTTGGACCACCCTGAATATAAAAAAGACAACCCACTGTTATTTTGGCACAAATATGCAAAATCATTACCACTTCTTGCATCTCAAGCAAGAATATATCTAGCCATACCTGCCATATCAGTTCCTTCTGAGCGTTTGTTCTCAGATGCTGGCAATTTACTAACTGATAAACGTAATTGACTTGATCCAAATCAGGTACGTGAGTTGTTATTTTTAAAAGAAAATTCATTCCTTTTTAATTGCTATCCAGGGTTAGAATTTTAATTTTTAAAAAAAATTAGTAATTATAACGATCATTTAGTATTACTTATATTGTTATATTGTTAATAAAGCGGCATAAAATAAAATAAATATATATAAATCTATTGAAAAATGTAGCTAGACTTATTTCATTTCTACTAGCCGTATTAATTAGAAGATGAATTTTGGTTAGCTAATCGCTCTATCGCTACTTTATATGTAGAGCCTCGTGACACCTAGATTAGATTAGTCGCTCATGTTAAATAAAATTGACCAATTATAGTTGGCTAGTATTATTGTCTAATGCGATGCACCCGACCCTAAATTTTGGCCGATCTGCTGAATTTTGGTTGTGCGGCCATCTATTGGCTAAGCCGCTAAGCTATTAAAAATTTAACGGCTTAGCCTAGCCGTAAAATTTTAATCGGCTTAGAACACTATTGATGATGAACAAGTGAAAACAGGATAGAACAAAGTTTTTATACAATGTGAAAATAAAGTCATTATTAAGAATTTTATAAAATTATTAAGTTCATTAGAAATTAACCAAAAAAATATATTAAAATATCATGCAAAAGCTAATTTTATTATGAGTGTATATAAAAAGGCAAATTCAAAAGATTTACTTGAAATTAAGCAAAACAATATATTCTTATTAAGATTTCATAGAGAAACTTATCTTATATTGAATAAATATGAGAAATCAAATACGAACTTAACAAAATTATTAAAATTAAACAAAGATGATAAATAGACATCAAAAGTAAATGAAGTTAATATCCAGTGTACTGTGTAAATCAAATTTATATATAGTTCCATATAAATATTTAAATAGACAATTTTGGTATAATGAGCACTAAAAAATATAGACAAATCTGTTTGTCGCTAGCAGTTACAAAAAAATTTCAAAATTTTTTAATTAAAATAACTCAAAATCATGTCTATGAAATCAAATCTCATGAATTAATTAATATAAAACTCTTCCCGTAGATCACTTTTACCAAAATAGGAACAAAAAGAAAAAACTTTCCCGCAAGATTATTTCAAAATT